CCCCATTACAATGCATGCATGAAACCACATATATACACATATACATATATATATATATACACACACAAAACACATATACACAGACTTGGCCACAGCAATGCATGGCAGGGGATGGCTAGTCACTCATAAAGCTTAACAAATATCCCACTTATACAGAAAATAGAAAATAATAAAATCCAACATATAATTGTATAAACTTGATATACTGTTCAATTTCATAGTAATCACAAACAATATTTATGAGCTTTTTTTACAGTCACTCTGAAATGGTATCTACACCGTATCTTCTTATGTTGAGTTGCATATGAATCAGCCATCAGAGTGACAGTAAAAAAGTCATATAATATTCTTTGTGATTACTGTGAAATTGAACAGTTTATCAAGTTTACTCAATTATATGTTGAATTTTATTATTTTCTATTTTTTGTATTTTTTAAAGGAGAGAAACTTGGAATTAAACAGAAATAGAGCAGAACTAAATAATGGTGGGATATTTGTTGAGCTTACTAACTCAGGAACCTATTTATATTGTGTAGTCCAGTGGTTCTCAACCTTCCTAATGCTGCGACCCCTTAATGCAGTTCCTCATGTTGTGGTGACCCCCAAACAAATTATTTTTGTTGCGACTCCATAACTGTAATTTTGCTAATGTTATGAATCATAATGTAAATATTTGATATGCAGGATGCATTTTCATTCACTGGACCAAATTTGGCACAAATACTCAATACGCCCAAACTTGAATACTGGTGGGATTGGGGGATTTATTTTGTCATTTGGGAGTTGTTGGGATTTATAGTTCATTTATAGTTCATTTAAATTCAAAGAGCATTCTGAACTCCACCAATGATGCAATTGAACCAGATTTGGCACACATAACTCTCATGACCAACAGAAAATGCTGGAAGGGTTTGGTGGGCATTGTCCTTGAGTTTGGGAGCTGTAGTTCACCTACATCCAGAGAGCACTGTGAACTCAAACAATGATGTATCTGGACCAAACTTGGCACGAATACTCAATATGCCCAAATGTGAACACTGGTGGAGTTTGGGGAAAATAGACCTTGACATTTGGGAGTTATAGTTGCTGGAATTTATAGTTCACCTGCAATCCGAGAGCATTCTGAAGCCCACCAATGATACAATTTGGCCAAACTTCCCACACAGAACCCCCATGTTCAACAGAAAATACTGTGTGTTTTTGATCGTCTTTGGTGACCCCTTTGACACCCCCTCGTGACTCCCGAGGTCCCGATCCCCAGGTTGAGAAACACTGGTGTAGTCACTCATAAACACACAGAAAAACACAGCAGAAGAGACTTTGTTGTTGTTGTTCATTCGTTCAGTCGTCTCCGACTCTTCGTGACCTCATGGATCAGCCCACGCCAGAGCTCCCTGTCAGCTGTCACCACCCCCAGCTCCTTCAAGGTCAGTCCAGTCACTTCAAGGATGCCATCCATCCATCTTGCCCTTGGTGGGCCCCTCTTCCTTTTACTTTCCACTTTCCCCAGCATAATTGTCTTCTCTAGGCTTTGCAGTCTTAAAAGAAAAGACTTAAAAAGCCAAAAATTTAAAAATACATTACAACACATGTGCAAAACCACACACACACACACATATATATATACGCAAACACACATATATACACATATTCACAAATATATATATACACACACATATACACACACAAAACACGTATACACAGACTGAGCCACAGCAACGCGTGGCAGGGATGGCTTGTTGTTGTTCATTCGTTCAGTCATCTCCGACTCTTCGTGACCTCATGGACCAGCCCACGCCAGAGCTCCCTGTCGGCCGTTACCACCCCCAGCTCCCTCAAGGTCAGTCCAGTCACTTCAAGGATGCCATCCATCCATCTTGCCCTTGGTCGGCCCCTCTTCCTTTTGCCTTCCACTTTCCCCAGCATAATTGTCTTCTCTAAGCTTTCCTGTCTCCTCATGATGTGGCCAAAGTACTTCAACTTTGTCTCTAGTATCCTTCCCTCCAATGAGCAGTCGGGCTTTATTTCCTGGAGGATGGACTGGTTGGGTCTTCTCGCAGTCCAAGCACTTTCCTCCAACACCACAGCTCAAAAGCATCGATCTTCCTTCGCTCAGCCTTCCCTAAGGTCCAGCTCTCACATCCGTAGGTTACTACAGGGAATACCATGGCTTTGACTAGGCGGATCTTTGTTCCCAGTCTTATGTCTCTACTCTTTACTATTTTATCGAGACTGGACATTGCTCTCCTCCCAAGAAGTAAGCGTCTTCTGATTTCCTGGCTACAGTCTGCATCTGCAGTAATCTTTGCACCTAGAAATACAAAGTCTGTCACGGCCTCCACGGTTTCTCCCTCTATTTTCCAGTTGTCAATCATTCTTGTTGCCATAATCTTGTTTTTTGACGTTTAGCTGCAACCCGGCTTTTGCGCTTTCTTCTTTCACCTTGATTAGAAGGCTCCTCAGCTCCTCCTCGCTTTCGGCCATCAGAGTGGTGTCATCTGCATATCTGAGGTTGTTAATGTTTCTTCCAGCAATTTTCACCCCAGCCTTGCATTTATCAAGCCCCGCACATCGCATGATGTGTTCTGCATACAAGTTAAAAAGGTTGGGTGAGAGGATGCAGCCTTGCCGTACGCCTTTCCCAATCTTGAACCAGTCTGTTGTTCCGTGGTCAGTTCTTACTGTTGCTACTTGGTCCTTGTACCGATTCCTCAGGAGAGAGACAAGGTGGCTTGGGATGCCCATCCCACTAAGAACTTGCCACAATTTATTATGATCCACACAGTCAAAGGCTTTAGAATAGTCAATGAAGCAGAAGTAGATGTTTTTCTGAAACTCCCTGCCTTTCTCCATTATCCAGCGGATATTGGCAATCTGGTCTCTCGTTCCTCTGCCTTTTCTAAACCCAGCTTGAACATCTGGCAACTCTCGCTCCATGTTTTGCTGGAGTCTTCCTTGCAGGATCTTGAGCATTACCTTACTGGCATGAGAAATAAGGGCCACTGTACGGAAGTTTGAGCAGTCTTTCGCATTTCCCTTTTTTGGTATGGGGATATAAGTTGATTTTTTCCAGTCTGATGGCCATTCTTGTGTTTTCCATATTTGCTGGCAAGTGGCATGCATCACCTTGACAGCATCATCTTTTAAGATTTTAAACAGTTCAGCTGGGATCCCGTCGTCTCCTGCTGCCTTGTTGTTAGCAATGCTTCTTAAGGCCCATTCAACCTCACTCCTCAGGATGTCTGGTTCTAATTCATTCACCACACCGTCAAAACTATCCTCAATATTATTATCCTTCCTATACAGATCTTCTGTATAGTCTCGCCACCTTCTCTTGATCTCTTCAGCTTCTGTTAGGTCCCTGCGATCTTTGTTTCTTATCATACCAATTTTTGCCTGAAATTTACCTCCAATGTTTCTAATTTTCTGGAAGAGGTCTCTTGTCCTTCCTATTCTGTTGTCTTCTTCCACTTCCATGCATTGCTTATTTAAAAATAGTTCCTTATCTCTTCTGGCTAACCTCTGGAATTGCGCATTTAACTGGGCATATCTCCCCTTATCCCTGTTTCCTTTTGCTTTCCTCCTTTCTTGGGCTACTTCCAGTGTCTCAGCAGACAACCATTTTGCCTTCTTAGTTTTCTTTTTCTTTGGAACGTACTTTGTTGCCGCCTCCTGAACAATGTCGCGGACTTCTGTCCATAGTTCTTCTGGGACTCTGTTTACTAAATCTAGTCCTTCAAATCTGTTCTTCACTTCCACTGTATATTCGCTAGGAATGTTAGTGAGATCATATCTAACTGGTCTGTGTATTTTCCCTGATCTCTTTAGTTTTATTCTAAATTGAGCAGTAAGAAGTTCGTGATCTGAGCTACAGTCAGCCCCAGGTCTTGTTTTCACCGACTGGATGGATGTCCGCCACCTTTGGCTGCAAAGGATGTAGTCAATCCGATTTCGGTGTTGACCATCTGGTGAGCTTGTTGGAAGAGAGTGTTTGTTATACACAGCGAGTTTTCCTGGCAAAATTCTATCAGCCTGCGTCCCGCTTCATTTTGTTTTCCCAGACCATGCTTGCCTGTGATCCCTGTTGTCATTTGACTTCCCACCTTGGCATTCCAGTCTCCTGTAATGAAAATAATGTCTCTTTTTGGTGTATTATCCAGTAGGTCCTGCAGATCCTCATAGAACTGATCTATTTCTGCTTCTTCAGCAGCTGTGGTTGGGGCGTATATTTGGATCACTGTAATGTTGAAAGGCTTTCCTTGCACTCGAATTGAGATCATTCTGTCATTTTTTGGGTTGTATCCAAGCACTGCTTTAGCGAATTTCTTATTAATTATGAAGGCTACTCCATTTCTTCGATGTTCCTCTTGTCCGCAGTAGTAGATCTGGTGGTCATCTGATGTGAAGTGGCACATTCCAGTCCATTTCAGTTCGCTGACCCCAGAATGTCTATCTTTAGTCTTGACATCTCACCAATAACAACATCCAATTTGCCCTGGCTCATAGATCTTACATTCCAGGTTCCTATGGTGTGTTGATCTTTAAGCATCGGATTCGTCGTTCACCTCCAGTACCGTCGGCCGCTAGCCTTCCTTTCGGCTTTGAGCTAGCTGCGTCATCACATCTGGGGCTAGTTGAACTTATCCTCTGCTCCTCCCCAGTAGCATTTTGGCCATCTTCCGACCTGGGAGTCCCATCTTCCAATGGCATACCGACATATCTCTGGTTGTACTGGTCCATTTAGTTTTCTTGGCAAGGATACTGGAGTGGTTTGCCATTGCCTTCCCCAGGGATCACGCTTGGTCTGACCTCTCTGCCACAACCGTCCCGTCTTGGGTGGCCCTTCATGGTTTCGCTCATGACATCATTGAGGTGCTCAAGCTCCAGCGCCCCGACAAGGCGGTGATCCTTTGCTGGAGAGGGATGGCTAGTAGTGTAATAAATTCTCTTCTGATGGAAGAGATCGAGGAGGAGTTTAGGACCCAGGGGGAGCCGGCGGGCAAATGGTCCGGAAGCAGGAGAAGCGAATGGGGCTCTATGGCTCTGGAAAGACTCTCTCCAGATGACTCCGGATCTGGCTTGCTTGCATCTTGGATCCTTGCAGGGCATTGGCTCAATCCCTTCAGTGCTTTAGACTGAGAATATGCATTGTAAATAAATAGATGGCTTTGAATGCTGCAGCCCAAGAAGCCCTGCAGAGTTAGAGAATGGGGCTGAGTCTCCTTGCAGAGGCAATGGAGGCAGGCAGTCCTCTTTCCTAGAGGAAGTGGGAGCATGGGATTTGTTCCTCTTCTGGATGGAAGCAGGCAGGTGAGTCTCTTTGTATTGATACAAGAGATTGGGCTAAGAACTCGTTCCTATGGGTGCATCTATACTGTTGAATTACTGCAGTTTGATACCACTTTAACTGCCATGGCAAAATGCTATGGATTCGTTGGAGTTGGCGAAGCACTGGCACTCTTTGGCAGAGAAGGCTAGAGACCTTGTGAAACTGCAGCTCCCATGAGGCCATGGGAGATAAAGTGGTGCCAAACTGCATTAACTCTACAGTGTAAATGCACCTTTGGTCACCATGTAAATGCAGTGGTTCTGCTATAAAATCTTTGCAAACAGCAGATCTTACAATTTTGCCAGAAACTTGGAGCATGTGGTCTTAGCAACCTTCAATACTGCCATATAATCCAGATTATCAACACAGATACTCCTCATCTGCTTTGAACTGGATTATATGCGTCTACACTGGAATACAATCCAGTTACAAAGCAGATAATCTGGATTTTATAGGGTAGTGTAGAAGGGGACTTTGGCAGTGTAGATTTATATAATCCAGTTCAAATCAGATAATCTGGAATATTTATTTGTTTGGGTTGTTCTAGGTTTTTTCGGGCTATATGGCCATGGTCACACACACACACACACATATACACACATACATTATATTATATTATTAGCATAGTACAATATCAGTACTATATATTACTATATTGTACTATACCATTATAGTGTAATATTATTAGTAATATTACATATAATATAAAAGCTATAATTATATCTTATTATTATTATATTGTATTACATTATAATATTATAAATATTATATGTACCGGTATATATAATATATTATATTATATTATTAGCATAGCACAGGAGACAAGATGGAACTGTCCCCTGGCCCCCTCACTCTCTGATTTGATAATCTGGATTATATGGTAGTACAGAATCTTACCTTGAATTTATTTTTAATAATTTGTCTTTCCTCTTTAGGATTTCCCATTGTGAACTCTAAAATGTCCAAGATGGAGCAGGAGGAAGAAATAAGCAGATCAACTCCCCAAAATCCTGGGGAGAGCAAGAATCCGGATGACACTGGCTCAGGTAAGGAATTGGCTTATGGAAAAGTATGGAAGCAAGAGTATGTTTATTAACACCATTGTTGTTGATTATGCTATTTTACTCATTTAAATTCTGCCTTTCTCACCATAATGGGATTCAATATGGTTAACAAACTATTTAAAACAACACAACTTAGAAAACTGTACAAGATCATTAATGACTGTGTAAATATACGATTTTAAAAACAATTGAACTAAGATGCATCTACACTGTAGAATTAATGCAGTTTGACATTACTTTTAACTACCATTGGTGCATTGCTGTGGCCCATTAAATTCAACCACTTGCTCAATGCAAGAGATCCATTTTATTGTTATTTTAATAACAGTCATTGATAAAAAAAGTCATAACATGAACATTTTTGCATTATATAAAAACATATAAGGATGTGAGATAAACTTCATTTCTTTTTAAATTAATCTAAAATAATCTAAAATACAGCATGCACCTCCAGTTTCGCATAAAGGCTACAATTGCAAAGATAGGTTCTGTATGGGACACAGGAATTGGTGTATGTATGGCACAGGGCAAAATTATTTTAATATGCAATAAAGAAATGTAAGCAATCAATTATTAAATTAAATCCATCTCACCTAATTTGAGATCTCCAAGTGCCACTACCAGAAAGGGTAAATACAGGCAGACCCTGAGTTACAAGCATCAAACTACAGGAAAGGAGATTCCACCTGAACATGAGGAAGAACTTCCTGACTGTGAGAGCTGTTCAGCAGTGGAACTCTCTGCCCTGGAGTGTGGTGGAGGCTCCTTCTTTGGAGGCTTTTAAACAAAGGCTGGATGGCCATCTGTTAGGGGTGCTCTGAATACGATTTTCCTGCTTCTTGGCAAAATGGGGTTGGACTGGATGGCCCACGAGGTCTCTTCCATCTCTAGGATTGTATGACTTACATTTGACTCATAGTTAATAACGAGGGTGAGACAACAGGAAGTGAGAGAAATCTAACTCTCAGAAAGGAAATTCAATCCTGAAAGTTATCATGGGAAAAAGGCTTTATCATCCATCCTTATTTCTACAATAAGCCATTTTTTTTCAAAATCCAATGATCACAGGGGCAGAAAGTGAACAGGGGCACAGATGTTGGAGCTCAGCCTGTGATTGCGTTTCAGGATCAGGGTGCTTTGGATGTGGGAAATGATGTCAATGAGTTTCAAGATGGCAATAGTTTGGTTAATGATATTGATGCAGAGAATGACCAGGAAATCTCTGTTCAAAGTGTAGTTTCCCATGAGAATGTCCCTAAAGGGTGTGGGGATGATGGTGTACTCCCTGAATTGCTACCAGAGAGTTCCCAGGATTTGGGGCTTAGAAACAACTTGGCACCTGCAGAAGTTAACGAGCAAATAGATAGACGGCAGGAGATTAGTCAAAACAGACAAGCCAAAGAGTGGCTTCTGCATTCTGCCAGGCTCCGATAGAAAAAGATAAGGGAATCCTAATTAAAGTGAAACCAATTTCTGAGTGCTTGGGATAGCTTAACGAGGGGGCATCATTAGGAATCAAGTTAAGTTCTCGTCCTTGTTTCATGGAAGCCTTGCTTGGAAGATTCATGCTTAAGTATTTCTTGTTTCATGGTTTTGACTCTTGGATTTTATGACTGCATACTCATGCCTTGGATTAATGTTTCCTGCTTTTCTGGATTATATTAGAGAAGTGTGGACTTTGTTTTCATGGACTTTGCTGAACTTTACCCTGGACTATTTTGTTCCTGCTTAACTTCTTACCTAATTGGATTTACCTATTTCGTTAAAGTGCTTTTTTACTTTGCTGCTTTTTAATTATCTTCAATAAAAGGATTGTTTTCCTATTCAATGTGTGGTGTTTAAAGTCAGAGGGCTTTTCCTGTCCTGGAGTGCAACAACAGATAGCAAAACAAACACCACGGAGATGAACCCTTCCCTATGTGATCCGAAGTTTGTTTGTATATATGTTAGACTTGAAAAATGTATCTGTTCCAACTTACATAAAAATTCCACTTAAGAACAAACCTATAGATCCTATCTTTTTTGTACCTTGGGGACTGCCTGTATAGGGCCACCTGGACACTGATTATTTTCCTGATTAAAATGGTTTACTATATCCCTAACATGCTTTCTTTCTCTCTTTCTCTTAGAAATGAGTCTCACGGAGGACACTATGGCTTCTGCTGCCATTACTGTTGCCACAGCTGCAGTAGCGGCAGTCAGGACTGTCATAGGGATCCACACTCGTATTTTCACAAGGCTGGCCACTCGCCGGGAATTCCACCACCGAGACAGTGACGATGTGGAGGAACTGGAGAAGATGGTGGAAAACGCAGCCACCTTGCGCCTTCGGGCGGTCGTAGAATCCAGCATAGACTCCTTGAGGAGCATGCTGTGCTCTTGCCTCTTCCAGTCACCGGCAGTCCTCGCCGGACTCATAGACGAGCTTTACATCATGGAGCGGGCTTTCTGGGTGCAGCCAGGCCGATCCGAATGGTGGGAGAAGGTGGTCTTGCCCCACTGGGGGGACCCGCTCTGGCAGGAAAACTTCAGGATGAGCCGCCGGACTTTTATGGAGCTGTGTGACATGCTGAGGCCTGTCCTGGAGCGGCAGACCACAAACATGCGAGCCCCGATCACCGTCGAGAAGCAGCTGGCAATTGCAATCTGGAAGCTGGCCACTCCGGATAGCTACCGTTCAGTGGCGGAGTGTTTTGGCGTTGGGCGCTCCACGGTTTCGAGGATTGTCATGGAGGTTTGCCAAGCTCTCTATGATGTGTGCCACCATGTGGTCCACCTGACCCATCCTCATGAGGTGATGAAAGGCTTTGCGTCCAAGGGATTTCCGCACTGCATCGGGGCCATTGATGCGACGCACATCCCGATCATCGCTCCGGCTCATAGAGCAACAGAGTACATCAACAGCAAGGGCTATTACTCCATGGTCTTGCAAGCCCTGGTGGACCACCAAGGACAGTTCATGGATGTCTACGCCGGGCGGTCTGGGAAAGTCCATGATGCGAGGATCTTCCGTAGCTCTCCTATCTTCCGCGCCATGAATCAGGGCACATTTGGTCCCAACACAACAATGAACATGGAGGGTGAGGATGTGAAGCCCGTGATCCTCGGGGACATGGCTTACCCACTTCTTCCCTGGTTGATGACTCCCTACAGCGGCCACTTGGACACCCGCAAACAATTGTTCAACGACACTGTAGGTCGCTGCCGGACGATAGTGGACTATGCTTTTGAACGCCTCAGAGGCCGTTGGCGGTGCCTCCTGTCCCGCTTGGACGTGAGGGAGCGCTATGCCCCCAGGGTCATTGTAGCCTGTTGTATCCTCCACAATATTTGTGAGGCCAGAGGGGAACCCCTCCAGGATGGGTGGGAAGAAGTGGTGAGGTCCGTCTCCAGATCTTACCAGCAGCCAGAAAGACAGCCCATGTATGTGTCAAATCCACACGCTCGGGAGATCAGGGATCTTTTTAGTGCGTATGTGGAACAGAGAGAACGGCAAATGCAGGTCTAAATCTCTCCCTTTTCTCCAGAGAAATTCTTATATTTATGTTTTGGACAGTATCTTTAATAGACACAATAGAAGCAAGGAGGGTGATGAAAAAATCCCCACTAGAGTCATGGGAGCAGAGTTGTAAGAGACCCCAAGGGCCATCCAGTGCTACCTCATTTGTCAGTGCAGGAATGCCTAATCAAACCACTCCTGACAGATGGCCATCCAGCTTCTGCTTACAAACCTCTAGAAAAGGAGACTCCCAGGAAGCAGCATATTCCACTGCAGAATAGCTCTTGCTAATGTTTAGGTGGAATCTCTTTTCCTGCTATATGAACCCATTGTTCAGTATCCTACAGCCCTTCCTTCCACACAGCCGTATAACCCAGAATATCAAGGCAGAAAATCTCACAAAGATACAGAATGGGGGAGAATGCCTGGTTCGAGAGCAGTACGTGTGAATAAGATCTTGGAGGCCTTGTGGACAGCAAGTTAAACATGAGCCAACAATGTCATGTGGCGGCAAAAAAAGCCAATGGGATTTTGGCCTGCATCAATAGGAGCATAGTGTCTAGATCCAGGGAAGTCATGCTACCCCTCTATTCTGCCTTGGTTAGACCAGACCTGGAATATTGTGTCCACTTCTGGGCACCACAATTGAAGAGAGATATTGACAAGCTGGAATGTGTCCAGAGGAGGGCGACTAAAATGATCAAGGGCCTGGAGAACAAGCCCTATGAAGAGCGGCTTAAAGAACTGGGCATGTTTAGCCTGAAGAAGAGAAGGCTGAGAGGAGACATGATGAGGGCCATGTATAATATGTGAGAGGAAGTCACAGGGATGAAGGAGCAAGCTGCTTCCCTGCAGACTAGGACATGAGACAGTGGCTTCAAACTACAAGAAAGGAGATTCCATCTGAACATGAGGAAGGACTTCCTGACTGTGAGAGCTGTTCAGCAGTGGAACTCTCTGCCCCAGAGTGTGGTGGAGGCTCCTTCTTTGGAGGCTTTGGCTGGACAGCCATTTGTCAGGGGTGCTTTGAATGCAATATTCCTGCTTCTTGTCAGGGGGTTGGACTGGATGGCCCATGAGGTCTCTTCCAACTCTATGATTCTATCTACTTTGAACTGCATTATCTGAGTCCACATTTCCATGTATTCCAGTTCAAAGCAGATAATGTGGGATTTTATTCAGCTGTGTAGAAGGGACTCCAGTCTCAAGAGCAGGCCTGCACAACTTGTGGCCTTCCAGATGTTTGGGCGTCCGACTCTTAGAAGCCCTAGCCAGCTTGTCCACAAATTCTGGGAGCTGAAGTCAAAATACCTGGAGAGACACAGGTTGTGCATGCCTGCTTCTGGGCAGCAGAAAACAAGCTTGTTGCCTTCTCAATATGGCATCCTTTCAGATATTTCAACATGGCTACCTTGTCCCCTTTCCGCCTCCTTTTTTCCAAGCTAAACATACCCAGCTCCCCCAGCTGTTCTTCACAGGACTTTGTTTCTAAACCTTTAATCGTTTTGGTCACCCTTTTCTGGGCACCTTCCAGTTTATTAATATCCTTTTTGAATTGCTGCAACCAGAACAGGACACAGTGTTATTCCAGGTGAGATCTGACCAAACAGAATAGAGTAGGACTATGACTTTACTTGATTTTGGCACTGTATTATTGATAGTAAAGGTAAAGATTTTCCCCTGATGTTAAGTCCAGTCGTATCTGACTCTGGGGGTTGGTGCTCATCTCCATTTCTAAGCCGAAGAGCCAGCATTGTCCATAGACACCGCCAAGGTCATGTGGCTAGCATGACTGCATGGAGCGACGTTGACTGCGTTGAGCCCCTGGTGGCGCAGTGGGTTAAACGACTGAGCTGCTAAACTTGTTGACTGAAAGATTGCAAGTTCGAATCCGGGGAGCGGCCTGAGCTTCCACTGTCAGCCCCAGCTTAGCAGTTTGAAAACATGCAAATGTGAGTAGATCAATACGTACCGCTCTGGCGGGACTAGATAATGAGCAATTATATAAGGTAAAGCCCCTGAAAACAGACTTTTTAAGAAGGCTGATTGTTGCCTTCCTGAGAAGCCATTTCCTTTTCACATCTATAGATGGAAATACTTAGCCAATCTTCGTTTATCCAACGTTCTGTATTATCTAACGCAGTCTGCCTTCCGCCCAGACCCACAGGTGAGAGAAGTGGAGTGTATATTTACCTGTGGAATAATGTCCAAGGTGGGAGAAAGAACAAACTCTTGCCTGTTTTGGTGCTAAATTCGTAAATACAGTAATTACTACATAACATTACCATGTATTAAACTGCTTTTTCTGTCAATTTGTTGTAAAACATGGTGTTTTGGTGCTTAATTTGTGAAATCATAACGTAATATGATGATTAAGGCTTTTTCTTAATCCCTCTTTATTATCTAACAATTTCGCTTATCCAATGTTCTGCCAGCCTATTTATGTTGGATAAGCGAGACTCTACTGTACCTGCATTTCAAGTGATTTCAAATGGTCAAGGATGTATTCACAGACCTCTTAAATGTAGTTTTCATAGTGTGTTGATATATGGTGGTCCAATCTCTTACTGACCTATATATGTGTTTGACTGCTGTTTATAATTAATCTGTGTTGGGTAATTAATATACTTCCAAAAATAGAAAATAAAATAAAATCTGACACAATAGGTTCGATTTTGGGTTTTGTACTTGGAATGGAGGGAGAATGTATTGATCAGTTTTCCATTGTATTAATTGAAAGTTAGAGGCAGAACATTGAAATGCAATATGCAGAGTAAGAATAAAATGTACTTTTGTAACAAATGGTGTTGTCAAGGTTCTTAACATTTTAATATATGTCAACAGTAATGTTTTTTTTTCCACGAGACTCCTCTACGCCAGGAAAAGCTTTATCTATTAAAAGAACAATAGCAGGTGCCAGATAAAATAGCAGGTGACGAGGGGAGCATTTGCACAGTTTAAACTTGTGCACCAGCTGCGCCCGTATCTTGGGAAGTCTGACTTAGCCATGGTAGTCCATGCTCTGGTTACATCCCGTATAGACTACTGCAATGCGCTCTACGTGGGGTTGCCTTTGAATACTGTTCGGAAGCTTCATATGGTCCAGCAGGCGGCAGCCAGGTTACTAACAGGAGCAGCGCTTAGAGCATACAACTCCTCTGTTGCGCCAGCTCCACTGGCTGCCAGTTTGTTACCCGGCACAATTCAAAGTGCTGGCTTCCTCATGTTATGGTGACTCCCAACCATAAAATTAGTTTTGTTGCTACTTCATAACTCATTTTGCTGCTGTTATGAATAGTAACAGATTGGGGGAGGGTATTGATTTTGTCCTGGGGGAGTTGTAATTGCTGGGATTTATAGTTCACCTACAATCAAAGAGCATTCTGAACTCCACCAACAATGGAACTGAATCAAACTTGGCACACAGAATTTATTTGTTTATTTATTTCGGTTACTTCTACCCCGCCCTTCTCACCCCGAAGGGGACTCAGGGCGGCTTACAAAAGCAAGGCACAATTTGATGCCTGCATCACATAACAGCAATAAAACAAAATAACATCAATTAACAATTAAACAACAATTCTTGCGTTAGAATCATAAAACCAATACAAACCAATTTCTCCTCATTGACGGTCAGCGTTCGCGATCTCATAGTTCAATTTCCAATTCCACAATTATCAGTCCTGTCGGTCCTATTCGTCTGGTTGTCCTTATCTAGTTATCAGATTGCCCAAAGGCCTGGTCCCACAACCACGTCTTTACCTTCCTCCTGAAGGAGAGGAGGGATGTTGATGCCCTGATTTTCCCCCGGGAGTGAGTTCCACAGGCGAGGGGCCACCACTGAGAAGGCCCTGCTCCTCATCCCCACCAACCTCACTTGTGATAGCAGTGGGGTCAAGAGCAGGGCCCCCCCAGATGATCTCAAATTCTGGGGTGGGACGTAGAGGGAGATACGTTCGGACAGATACACTGGACCGGAACCGTACAGGGTTTTGTAGGTCAAAACCAGCACCTTGAATTGTGCTCGGAACTGAACCGGCAGCCAGTGGAGCTGACACAGCAGGGGGGTGGTGTGCTCCCTGTATGTCGCTCCGGTGAGCAATCTGGCTGCCGCTCGCTGGACTAGTTGAAGTGCGTTGCAGTAGTCTATTTGGGATGTAACAAGAGCGTGGACCACTGTGGCCAGAATTCCCATGACCAACAAAAAATACTGGAAGGGTTTGGTGGGCACTGACCTTGAGTTTTGGGAGTTGTAGTTTACCTACATTCAGAGAGAACTGTGGACTCAAACAATGATGGATCTGGACCAGGTGTCACAGGTGCATCTGGCAGGGACGAGAGAGAGCCATGTCTCCAAGCTATGGGATCATAGGATTTGTAGTTCTGCAAAGTCTTTACCAAAAAAGGTTGATGCCTCGCCAAACTACAACTCCCAGGATTCCATTGTATTGAGCCAGGGGTGTCAAACTGCATTAATTCTACAGTGTAGATGCATTCACTTGTCCAGGGCTGCCCTGTAAGTTTCATTATGGAGTAAATATCTGATCAAGCCCAGGACTGTCCTATAGGGTTCATGATGGAGTAAATAATTGAACAAGTCCAACAACTATGTTGCTCTTTGGCAAAATAAAATATTCCCTTTCCTCCAGTTTAGGTAGAAACATCTATGATTTTCAGATACAAGCTCTCCCTTTTTGTTCTGTCAGGATCTTATTCTGCTAAGGTTAAGCTCCTCTGCCTCAGTCAGCTAGAACTGTTGTGGTTTTCAGTCAGGTCCGCCCACTTCTCAAGTGGGCGTGGCCCAAACAAAGAAGCAGAACGTTCACTAACCAGCCACGCTGCGCTTGGACCAATCAGAGCCCAGAACCGAAGAGCTGTCATTCTTCCAAAAGCAGGAGAATCTGGAGTGTTATTATACTATGTGAAACATTCAAAAGTACTTTCCCCCTAGTATACTACATGAAACTTTTGAAAGTGCTTTTTCCCGCCTGACATGAGAAGCTAAGCAGGGCCAGCCCTGGTTGGCACTTGGATGGGAAGCCAAGCCCGCCCCTTATTCCACTTATTTCTCCAAATTATTCGATCCTTCAAAGAAAGATTAATAATTCCCCAATCTTCATGTCAGCACAGGACTCTATCCCTAGTGTTTATGTGTATGAGAAGATCGAAGCAGGCACATTAAATACTATTTTAATCCGTTATTTTGTCCATATCTATATTTCCTTCGAAGCCAGGCGCTTCCATGATGATCAAGAGTGGGTTTTCACTCATTGGGAAGTCAGTTTAGGAATGAAGCAAATACATATTAATTACAAATAGAAGAGCAATAAATCCGAGGCATTTTTAGTGGAGTAATTCGGAAATTGGAGGGATTTAAAAGGATGCCCGGCTGAAATGGCTAAAGAAAGGAGAGCAATAGATTTCTCCTCAAGGAAGAAACAGTTCCTATTTCGGGCGCTTGTGTGAAGAAGGTTATAAAATGGGGATGTCCTGGTTTATTTAGTGGATTGGATTGATTTCTCTCCCATATGAAGGGTGATATTTTCGTTAGACACACTCCAGAGGGAGGTTTCCTCAGCCATTCGGCTTCTTTGACAGGGAAAAGGGAGGAGAGGAAAAAAGGCGGGAAACGGCGGCGCCAATTGTGCTTCTCCCTCAAAAGGCGCCCAGAGAGAGAGAGAGAGAGAGAGAGAGAGAGAGATCCCCTCAGCCAGCGCCAAAACAAACAACAATACATTTATTATTATTATTATTATTATTATTATTATTATTATTATTATTATTATTATTATTATATTATTGGCATTAAAAGGACCCGCTGCAGGTTGAAGAGAGAAGCCTCATAAGTCTAATAGACAAAAAAGTCCTGTCCATTTGAATGTTTATGTGTTTCAGGTTAAATCGCAATTAGTAATCTGGGTTGTTGTAGGTTTTTTCGGGCTGTATTGCCATGGTCTAGACTGAGGCATTCTCTCCTGACGTTTCGCCTGCATCCCTGGTCTGACCTCACTACCTCTGAGGATGCTTGCCATAGATGCAGGCGAAACGTCAGGAGAGAATGCCTCTAGACCATGGCCATACACCCCCGAAAAAACCTACAACAACCCAGTGATTCCGGCCATGAAAGCCTTCGACAATTAGTAATCTTTTAAGTATCCTGAGCGGCCCTGAGTCTCGTTCAAAAGGAGGTGATCATAAATATTAATTCAGTAATAATAATAATAATAATAATAATAATAATAATAATAATAATAATAATAATATCCAACTCTTCCATCTGGGACAGGGAAAAGGGATTTTAAAAATTCCCATTTTTCTCCAGGAGATCGGAAGCAGGAATTGAAAACTTGAGGGGAAAATAGTTGGGGTGTTTTCCGGGCTGTATAGCCATGTTGCAGAAGCATTCTCTCCTGATGTTTCGCCCACATCTATGGCAGGCATCCTCACAGGTTGTGAGGTTGTTGTGAGGAAATAATTATTTCTCTTTGGAAGAGATATATATATATATATATATATATATATATATATATACACAATTGATGTGTCTCTGTGTGTAAATAAACATACATCTAATAATTACTATTATTACATCTGTCGTTTGTGTGTGTGGGTGTATATATATATACACACAGACAGATGTAATAATAATTACTTTCACTAGAATTATTTAACAATGCATGTTTACATACACATAAATTAATCTTTCTCATATATATATATATATATGAGAAAGATTAATTTATGTGTATGTAAACCTGAATTGTTAAATAATTCTAGTGAAAGGTGTGTTTACATATGTAGATCTGTACTGTGTGTATATATATAGTAAAAGAAGTGTTTCTAAACTTTATATAGATAGGACTGTGTCTCTGTATACAAATCTGATATGTATATATAGAGAGATTTATATATGTGTATGTAGATGCAGTAAAATGATTCTAGTAAAAGGAGTATTTACATTTATATTGTCTAGGATTTACATTTACATAGTCTAAAATAATTTCCCCAAGAACCTGCCATTTTGTGTCATAATTATATCTATACATATTTAAATATTTGTATAGATATATTTATTATTTACAGTATTTGTATAATGCTTTTCTCACCCCAAAGGGGACTCAAATATAGGGAATATAGGGAAATAAGTGCTTCTCTTTGAAAAAATATTAGGAAAAGTGGTGTGTCTGTGTGTACATATAGATATATAAATCTGACATATATATATATATATATATATATATATATATATATATATATGATTCATAGATATGTATGGAGACATGCAGTGTAAATCCCTCAAGAACCTGCCATTTTGTGTCATTATATCTACCTATCTATATATGAGATTTATATGTGTATGCAGACATGCAGTGTAAAATAATTCTAGTAAAAGGGGTGTTTACATAGTTTTTTTTACATAGATGTGTACTGTACATACACACATATAGTCTAAAATAATTCCCTCAAGAATCTGCCATTTTGTGTCATTACATCTATCTATCTATCTATCTACCTATCTATATATGAGAGATGTATATATGTGTATGTAGACATGCAGTGTAAAATAATTCGAGTAAAAGGAGTGTTTACATCGATAGTCTAAAATAATTCCCTCAAGAACCTGCCATTTTGTGTCATAATTATATCTAGCCATATTTAAATATTTGTATAGCTATAGACAGATATTCCCCACACACAGTCTTTTGCAAGAATTCCCCTCAAGAAGCGGCGCTTTGTTGTCTTTGGGGCGCTCTTCTCTCATTGGTGGGGAATTCTGAGCCAATAGGAAGGCGGATCCTGAT